GAGAGAGAGAGAGAGAGAGAGAGAGAGAGAGAGAGAGAGAGAGAGAGAGAGTCTTCCAGCCATGCATGCAGAGGGATAGAGAGAGGCCACTTCCATCAATAGGATGAGCAAAATCGGAATGAATCTTCCGCCAAAATATGGAAATATACACTTCTCTCCAGCCATGTGCGCAGAGAGATAGAGGGAGGCTACTTGATAGGATGAGCAAAATCGCAAATAATCTTCTGCTAGAACATGGAAATAGATACTGCCACTTTTTTTTTTTGGCGAATGGAAACAAAGCGCCGCCGCGGACTTGAATCGAAAAGCGCGAATGGAAGCGGCCTTGAACTCCCACGGGCGCCTATGAAACACCCGCGGACGCGTCCATGGGGCCGAGCTCGGAGGGCGGACGTATATGCGGCCGCCTCCGCGGGCGACCTGGTCCGCGCCGGACCCGATTTTACCAGAATTTTCATGAATTAAATGATAGGTAAAAATATATATATATGGGGTTGTAGGGAATTTTAAGCCCTACAACCCCATTATTTTTTTTTTTGGAATCCGACTTTGTTTTAGGATTTAAAAAAAATCAAAAACTAAATTCGATTTAAAGAAAATAAAAAATATATATATGAAGAAAAGCTGGAATTTTTTTTTGTCATTTTTTATCATCATATATATCGTCCCTGAGTTCACCAGTATTTTTTAGAAATGAATTCCTGTTTTTTGCAGGGGTATGAGGTGTTTTAGAAAAATAAAGATGTGAAACGGTTTTCACCCTTTTGCAGTAGCAGATGCAGATCGCAGGGCTCGATCCCTAGACCCCACCTTACCTGTGTACATTACCTGTGTCAAACCCCCGAGAGTTAAACCCGTGACCTGTGTATTCGTAACAGTTGGTAGACTGTCGTAGAGGTCCGTAGGTGATAGGGGCTCGATCTGTAGACCTGTAGAATAGAAGTCTTAGGGAAGTCCAGAAGTCTTAGCTGTACTCTTCTTGAAGGTGGACCAGTGGGCAAGTGGGCAAGTGGTGAGCCAAGTGGTGGACCAACTGCAGTACGACTCCAGTGCGATGGCGGTGAGTTGACGGTGAGTCCCCATGCAGTCAGCAGTACGTCCAGTCAGTCCCAGTTCGGTCCAGCAAGTACCATGAGGGACTGTGTGCACCATGGGCCCAGGGAAGGGGGCAGACCAATGAGCTTCAGAAGTATAAATCAAGAGGCAGCGCCCAGCCATTCATTCATTCCTGCGTGAGCCATGCAGAAGCGCTGCCACAGCGACTTGTGCAAGGAGGTCTGCTGTTGCATACTGTAACGTGCAGACCAGAACAAGAACCGACCTTTCAATACAAAGTATAAAATAGCA